GGCCAAGGAAGAGGGAAGACCCCTACTCCCTTGGCCTTTCCTGTGGAGAACTCCCTTACAGGGTTGGAGCTCTCGGAAACAGGAAGACGACGAATGCTAGATGTATGCAGAAATCACCAAAAATTTGATATGATTACATAAAGATATTTGGCCCTATTTATAGCAGGTGTGAAGAGACGGTTGCAAGTAGCTGTTAGGCAGTTCCAACCGCTGGGCAGTTAGGCGGTTGCTGGTGATTATTCTGTTGAAGCAGTTGTTGGCCATAACTCCCAGGGTGCCCACTTCGCTTGCATTGAGGGTTAAGGGCACAGATCTTCTTCGCTTGCTGGGGCGCTGGAGGGTATCAGCGCAGCTCGGCTCGCTTGTGCTGGTTGGAATTGGAATGGCTGTACCGCTGCAGTTGAAGTACTTAGTTGAAATCTGGTGATAGTCTGCAGCGGTGGGTATCTGGACTGTCGCTTGCAAGTAGGAGAGCTTATCGCTTGCGGGCTGTGAAGGTAGCCGCTTGCCTCTCATGCCTTAGTATTTTCAAAATATGTTCTGGGCGCTTGCAAGCGAAGGTGACTGTCGCTTGCGGCGTCTGCCTTAGCTTTTCTGGTTCCAGATTACCGTTTACGAGGGCAAAAATCGTTAATAATCTCAACAACAAATTCTGGATCATGCCTAGTGATATAAATCAATATTGTATGCCGATCATGAATTATTTTGATGGTTCTTATGCAGAAATTCGAGTAATACACATTTTTGTCAAGCTAAGAATATGCTCATATTTGGAGTCATCATTGTACGAATGCCTACATAATATGACTTTTCTACCATTTATTTATTTATTTATTGTTAGTGTATTAGCTTTGTTGCGTTAGGTTGTCAAAATGCAAGTCTTCGAGGTCCTAGAGTGTCATTTTGTTTATATTTTATACTTTTGGTTATTGATATTGGATGTTCTTGAGAGTTGTGTTTTTTCAATTCCATTTGCTATTTTATAGTAATTTACTTGTACAAAATATATTGATATGGATATCATTTTGTAGATCGTAACGTTTTCTCTAATACAATAACTTAGTTACAATATTCTAATGCTATAATATAAAAAAAATGCATTAGAAACTAATGTAGAGGTTTTTGAATTTGTTGGGCACGCAAAACAAAAAAAAATAGTCCGACTGGACGGCTGATCTTACAGAAATAGAAGGCATCCGATTTTGGGGCAGTCTCAAATGGTAACCGATCTCAGTATCAGCCGACCTCTGGATTATCCGACCTCCCTTTCAGCCGACCTCCGTATCAGCCGACTTCGGTATCAGCCGACCTCCCTTTCAGCCGACTTCTGCATCAGCCGACCTCTGTATCAGCCGACCTCCGGATCAGCCGACATCCCTTTCAGCCGACCTCCGTATCAGCCGACCTCTGGATCAACCGACCTCCCTTTCAGCCGACCTCGGTATCAGCCGACTTCCCTTTCAGCCGACCTCTGTATCAGCCGACCTCTGGATCAGCCGACCTCCGTATCAGCTAATTCAGTATATATATTCATTTTGTAAAAAATAATTTTCTAATAAAATAGAAAAAAATATCCAAAGAAAAATATATATATTTTTAAATTGGTTGGTTGCACAGATATAAAAAAATATTTAATTATATAATTTATTATATATTTTTCTCTCATCTTTTTATTCCAACCAACCGACTACTTATTGGACGGTTCTCATCCTCTTTGTTATCTGACCAATTCAGTATATATATTCATTTTGTAGAAAATAAATTTTTAATAAAATAGAAATAAAATATCCAAAGAAAAATATATATATTTTTTAAATTGGTTGGTTGCACAGATATAAAAAAATATTTAATTATATAATTTATTATATATTTTTCTCTCATCTTTTTATTCCAACCAACCACTACTTATTGGACGGTTCTCATCCTCTTTGTTATCTGACCAATTCAGTATATATATTCATTTTGTAGAAAATAAATTTTTAATAAAATAGAAATAAAATATCCAAAGAAAAATATATATATTTTTTAAATTGGTTGGTTGCACAGATATAAAAAAATATATTTATATAATTTATTATATATTTTTCTTTCCTCTTTCTATTCCAACCAACCGACTACTTACTTGACGGTCCTCCTCCTCTTTGTCATCCGACCAATTCAGTATATATATTTATTTTGTAGAAAATAATTTTTTAATAAAATAGAAAAAAATATCCAAAGAAAAATATATATTTTTTAAATTGGTTGGTTGCACAGATATAAAAAATATATATTTATATAATTTTTTATATTTCTTCAATCGGCTGAACAACCATTCGTCCAGCTGATTCAATGGTCGCCCAATCAAGCGATCAACTGACCGCCCTTTCACTTGTCTGACCTCCGGGTCGGCCGTCTTATCCTTCTTCGCCCGACCTCCATGTTTGTCATCTCATATTTCTTCGTCCGATTTTATTTCGTCCGACCTCCGTCTCGTCCCTCATCTTTCTTCGTCCGTCTTCCTTTTGTCCGACCTCCGTGTCGTCCGTCTCATCCTTCTTCGCCCGACTTCCTCTTTTGACCGTCCTCTGTATCGGCCGTCTCATCCTTCTTCGCCCGACCTTATCTTCTCCAATCTCCTTTAAGACCCTGCTACCATTATTATTATTATTATTTATTAATTTATTGTACTTAACATTAATATTTAGATTGTTTAAATGAAACTTATATTAATTTCAACTATACATATAAAAAAAAATAACGCTACCAATACTACGCGCGCGAACGAGCACTAGTATGTATATATATATATATATTAGATAGATGGTATGAATATATATATATATTATATTTTTTAATATTAATTGAGAATTGTGTTAGCAAAACTTGTTTGGGTGAACACACACGTTTGGCATTTATTTTATTAGACCTATAGTCTGCTTTAATACTTGTGGAAATTGTTGTCTCGTCATGAAATATAAAAATGATATTTTATAAAATTGTATGGATATGCTTGCTTAGTAATTATTTTTGTTAGATTTAGATATTTATTTCATATTATTTTAGAATAATTTTTTAATATTATTTTATTAGATTTAGATATGAGTCCACTACTATATATATCTTGTAAATTCCTATTTTGTTAGATTTATATATGAATTTCCCAAAATTTTTAACATGATATTAAAGCCCGGTTTTCCAAAACCAAAACTCTAGCCGTCGTTGCCGTTGTTCTCCGTCCATCGTCTGTCCTTCTCCTGCCCTCGTTTTTCGGTTGCCGTCTCCGGCTTTGGTTCCCTACATCGTAGGGTGATTGGTTTTGTCGTTGGAGTTGATTTTGCTTTGCGACTGTTACCAGTTGGATTGTTCGATGTACTTTTTTGATTTGGACTTTAATTTCGTGATTTACATATTTTTCTTCATTTTTTTTTATTATGGAGCGTATGGACGTTCATTTACCTATTATTACTATCTTGTCTGGCGATAATTATGATTTTTGGATGCAGTCTATGAAAATTTTCTTGATTGATAGGAAGTTACGGAGAATTGTCACTGACGATATCCGGCCACATGTCTTTCAATCTCCTTTTGTGAATGTTGATCCCATATTTCGGGAGCATGAAGATTATGTTGCCAAATTAAAAGATTGGGATAGTAAGAATCATCATATTTTTACTGCACAATACTTTTGTACCTGCGATTCATGTACAATTGACTCCTTTTGATACTGCAAAGGAGGCATGAGATTTCATCGCCGCTTGTTTTCATACTACAGGTCTTGCTCACTATTATCAGCTTTGGACCACGCTGAGCTCCGCCCGACAACAACCTGGTCAGTCTGTTAATGAGTTTCGTGTTCAGACTCAACCTATTCGTTATCGTCTCCGACAATCACAGATTAGTCAAGACTATCTTGACCTTATTCAGATATTGATGGCCCTTCGACCTGAATATGAGACTGTTCGTGCCTTAGTCCTACATCGACATCCATTGCCTACTCTTGATGCTGCCATTCAGGAGATTACTTTTGAGGAGACTCGTCTCCAGTTGGCTAAGACACCCAATTCTGATTCTGCTTTAGTTGTGTCTCGCTAGTCCTGATCTGCTATTACTGGATGTCGAGTTTGCAAGTCTCCTAATCACACTTGGTCCACCTGTTCGAAGATCGAGTGTCACTCTTGTCGTTTGCGTGGCTATATTGCTCCGGCTTGTCCCACCAGATCTCAGCGTCCAGGTAATTCTACTCTAGACATTCCGGTAGCTCTGCTCCTAGACATTCAGGTGGTTCAGTTCCCAAACCTAGAGAGCCTAGTGGGTCTTCTTCGAGTACTTCTTCTTCGGTTACAGCTGCTACTACTAATGAGACTCAGCATTCGTCTTACAATCTTTACTATATAGAAGTCATTATCAAACCGGTTATGCAAACCAATTCTGCTATGTCTATCGCTCCATATACATCTGCTTTGTATTTTTATTATGATTATTGTTACTACATGATCTCTAACCCTCGTAACTTGACTTCTATGTCTCGTGTCTCTCATTTAGCACCTATACATACTGCCAATGGTACTACCATGCATATTACTCACGTCGGTTTTACAACTTTTATGCTATTTTCTATTAAAAAAAAAAAAAAAGTTATCACATACAATATATTATTCAAATTAAAAAAAATAAAAATAAAATTACCAACTAAACACATCTTATATTTTTGAAAATGTTTTAAAACATATAAATACATTCTAATTATTTACACACATTGTCCACAAATCAAATGATACATGTCAAGAACCAATTATTGGAATTATATTCAGACTAACTAAATTCCACAACAGCCCTGCAATACACAAATCAACAAAATTAAAATCACTATTAAGTAAAGTCAAGTGTAATTAAGAACAAATAACTTGATATAAATAAAAATAACATAAAATACTAACATTTAACAAAACTTAGTAATAACTAATAATACTTATATAATTAAGCAAGAGTAAGTCTTAATTAAAATAACAAAACTTCTGAATAGAACCACTGATCAAAATTAATCAACCGCCTCTCATGTTCATTTTCTTCTACATATACATACATAAATATATATATATATAGAAAGAGAAAGTTAGAGAGAGAGAGACGTACAGCCAAGGACAGAACCTTGAGTCGATCAATTAATACTGATTATGTGATGAGTGATGATGATGGTACATTGAAGCGGCGCGCCGCCGCCCATGGCTGCTACTGCCATCTCCGTCGCCGGCGCCGGCGCCCATCTGGGCTCCCAAATTCAGATACACCATTCTGGAATCAACATTAATATTACCCCCGCCACCGCCGTCGTCGCTAATCGGAGGATAAATCTCGGCGGCGGAAGCCGGCGCGGCGGCGTTGCCCTCCTCCCTGGACATGACCATTGCCGCCGATTGGACCAATTCGAGGCAGAGGCGCAGCTTATTGGGCTCGATGTGGCTCAGCCCCGGAATGGCTCCTTTGAACAGGAAATCTGACGTCAGCGTCCGGAGAACATCGAGCGGCGTAATGCCGTCGACGGTTCTACCGTTGGGGTCGGCCTGGTGGTCGAGGAGGACCGCCACCATGTCCGGCGACACCATCTCCGCCGCGACATGGAGAGGGGTCTTCCCGGAGGGCCCCGCCGGAAAATTGACGTCGGCGGCGCCGAGCTCGAGCAGAGCCTTGACGACTTCCCGGCTGCAATTCTCGACGGCGTAATGTAAGGCGAGAGCCTCGTCGAGATTGAGGCCTTCCCCCATAACCATAAGCTTCACGAGCTCCACGTCGGAGGCGTCCAGGGCGCGGCGCATCCGCCGGATTTTCTGCTCGTGGAGGTCGGCGGCGGCGGTGAGGTCCTGGTGGTGGTGGTGGTGATGGTGGTGAGGGATGAGGGAGCGGCGGGCCATGGAGGACTTGAGGCGAAGCTCCTCGATTCTGGCGACGACGTCGATGGGGAGGTGCTTGGCCAGGACCTCCGGCGGGAGTCCCGACTTTGCAACTAATTGGGAGCAGGTGGTCCAGAGTTGAGGCAGATCTTGTTTTCTAGAAGCTACTAGAACCTTCATTACATCTTCTATGCTTGCCTTCTCCACCATGCTTACCAATTGCTTCTGCATACATACATATAAGCATTATCATACTTCCATTAACAAACCTAAATAACCAATTACGTGTTAAAAAAATAATAACTTAGAAGATTATGTTTGTTTTAGGCCTCCATGGAACAATGCTTTAAACTCTACAAATTGAACCAGTTCTTGTAAAAATGGTGTTTTTTTTTTTTTTCAGTTTTTGTTAACAGATTCTTACAAACATCGCCTCAAATACTGTTTAAATAAAAATTAAAATTTTCAAACTCAATCCATATTGAAAAAAAAAAAAAAAAAAAAAAAAGGAAGACACTTTTTTTGTTAACTAAGGTTAATACCTAAATAGCTAGTATTAAGCATGATCCATCTTAACTAGAGTTACTCTATAAAGGCATTTGATTTAGTTCTAAAAACTGATGCAAACAAAATTTTACCAAAAATCTGAACCAATGTATAGACAAATTTGTCTAGTGGTGTATATAGTTTTTTATGTAAATGAAGAATTTCAATCTCTTATGGAGCAATTCTTGAAAATAAAAGTTTCACAAACATGGGAGTTTATTAGTTAAGCTTAATTTAATAAGAATTTAACTAAAGATGCATATATGGAACATGTAAACCTTAAAGAAAACCTAAGTAAGTAATGTTGATGCAATTGTGGGGTAAATATTCTTATTGCATAGCTGAAGATGAACAGTTGGATGTCTAGTTGGAACAAAACCGGGTAGGGTAAGAGTGAGAGGGTTAGATTTGATTTCCATTTTAGAAGAAGGAGATAGAGAGAGAGTTAGGGGCTGTTTGGGAAAAAATCTGATAAACACTGTATATATATATAGACATGACCAGAGAGATAGATCATCGATGGAACCACCAAATGTGGAATAACTCACACTGTGGATTGAAAAGATGGATGAAGAAAATCCCACAATTTCACAATGTCACATGAAATCAAAAGATTATTACAAACTTTACATGATTGACGTATAGCCAGAAACATTGCACAGAGGAAATACCACAAGCACAACAGAAATCCGAGGAACAAGACAACCTTGTAGCTTGTCCATAACTCGCAGAGAAAAGGGAAATTAAAAAAGCTTCTATCTATCAGATTAAACACTGCTCACTGTTCATCAAAATAATTTTATTTTATTTTATTTTTCTGGATTTCTTTCGCAAAACGTGGTCAAGAATAATCCATGAGATTTCGTGCCGACAGAAAGAAAAATTTTACCCTATCCTTTTAGTGAAAATTGGCGGATTCAAGTTCCCAGAATTAATGTAATTTAATCGAATCTAATCTTGATTTAATCTGTGTAAGAAAAATTTGATTTTAAGTATTGCAGTGATATACGATGCAGAAGCTAATTAAGGTATGAGCTGCAGAAAACCTGAGTGAGCAAAGCGAGCTGCTCGACGCCGAAAGATCTAGCGGCTGAGAGCGTCTCGAGGGCGAGATCGACGGCGGAGGAGCAATGCGTGTGCCAGCACGTCCTTTCCCCGCAATTAGGGCGTGGCTCGTGTTTCTGAGGTACAATCGAGACTTGCCCAGAGTACAAGAACTGAAGCATGAGTAGGAATACCTCATACCCTACAGTGTTCACCGGAATCACTTGAGCTGCTGCGGCGGCGGCGCCGCCTGTTGCTCCGCGGGGCGAACCTGTGCCGGCGGCAGGAGAGTCCGGGCCGCCGCAGAAGAATTTCCGGAAGAAAAGGCTCCGCGCCGCCAGAATGCAGCGGTGGGCGTGGACGAGGCGGCCTTCCACGCTGAAAGTGACGTCACTGAATGCCTGACCGTTGATCAGAAGGTTGAGATAATCCAACGATAGGGATCGCAGGGTGTCTTCTGGGCTCATCTTTTTTTTTTGTTTGTTTTTTCTGCAGTTGGAGAAATTAGGGATTGATGAGGAAGAAGAGTGGTGAGGGTTTATTTAATCTGCTGGTTTTTCGATTGGTGGATTCATTTAAATAATGGCTGTACCTGTGGGTAATGATGGTGATGATGGGATTCTGCTTTCTGCTATATATGAGAAAATTTAGAGAGAGAGAGAGAGGGAGAGAGGGGCTAAGAAGAAAGGAGGGGAAGGAAGGAAGGGAGGAATATTAATGGCGGATCCAGGCGGCTGAGATTATGGAAATTTTTCATGAGGTTTGTTATTTACAATTTGATCCTTCAACTATTGACTGGTTGCAGTGTGGTGTAGGTTTTTATTTGGCTGCATTCTTGTGTTTGTGTATGTATTTTTTATTTTATTTTTTTTTTTTTTGGAAGAAGAATTGTTGTGTGTTTTAATTTATTTTTCTTCACCAAGTTTAATCTAATCATTTTATTTACATGCACCTCCATGGAGACCAACACCGCTGTCATCCCGTTTGATGGATCTGCTCCGCCGCTGGCCATGGACCGATCTTCCAATATTATTCCGGTGGTGCGCCCTTTGTCTTCACCGTCATATTATATTTAGATATTTATGTTTTTTGAATTTACATATTTATTTATTTTTTGTCTCCCTATAGTATGTATTTGAATTTTAATTATGTATATTATAGAGTTTGAAATTGATGCGAAATAGATTATAAATTTAATTTTTTATTATAATAAATATTTTATAAGAAAAAATATATGTTTTTATTAAAAATAGCAAAAAATAATTAGTAGCGATTTTAAACTAAAAGTACAACTCATAATAATTTGTACTTTTTATGTTTTTGTTCCCTCTACTCCACATCAAGTTCAAGTTTATAAGACCAAAAAGTGTAAATTATTATAGTAATATACGATTGTGTAAGATAAAATTAGAATGTATAATGTGTTTTAAAATTAAAAATCATTTTATTGTTAATATTTATTTCTTACTTTTTACATTTGAAAATTAATAATAAATCATAATTATAAAATTCACTAGAGAAAATATATTTGAGTATATAACAAAATTCACAAAAAATGTTTTTTTTTTTACTTTGTGTTTTTTAATTGATTTTTTTTTTATGTTAAATATAGAGAATTATATTGATAATATAAAAAATAATATTTTATGTTAAATTATTAATTTTTTGTGCTTGAATAAGTACATATACAAATAATACATATTGTGTATGATAACTATACGTGTTGTTTATTCATAATTATATATGTGATGTACAATAGTATATTATGTGCTAAATCAACTGTTGTGTGAGTTGTATGTGTGTTAATTCAACACTATAATTATTCCCATACATTACTATATATATATTGTATTTTTTAAATAATATTTATAGGAAATTGTTTCACTTATGGTGTGTTTGGTACATGGAATTGATAATAGAGAAATTGAATTTGGAAATAAATCATTTTTATTTTTCTATTTTCATTTTTCTCATATATTCAGAGAAATGATATTGCAGTATATATATTTTTATTCTTTGTTGTAATATTTAATTTTATAATTATTTATATTATATTATTTCAATTTTACAAAAATTATACTAATTTTTATAATTATTTATATTATATTATTTCAAATTTACAAAAATTATACTCCCTCCATCCCGTTGAAAGGGCAACATTTTCTTTTTACACGTAGATTTTTTAATATTAGTATTATATTGGATTGTAGTAAAAAAAAAAAGACAAAAATACCTCTATTAGTATGGTGTAATATAAAAGTAATGACATTTATGTAATATATTGTAAGTTGAAAGGGTATTTATTATGTTAAGTAGGTAGTACAATTACTAAATTAGGAAATGGTAACCTTATTTTGGGACGGACGAAAATGAAAAATGGTAACCTTTCAATGGGACGGAGGGAGTATTTGATTTATCATTCAAGTATTTAATTTTTTACAAAAAAATTTTAAAAAATTATGCTAAAATATGATCATACAAAACTTCTAATATAATTTATTATTTTTTGTTTTAAAAAAAGTTACCATAAATATTTTTTTCATGAATTTTCACTCACTAAAAGTCTCTTTTGTTAAATAGGTGTTGATGTGATGTTTTGAATGTAAAATTGATTTTTAGTATAATATAAAAAATAAAAAATAGGTGTTTGATTTAATATTTTTTGGGAGAAAAAAATTGGATTAATAGTGTAAATATAATCCAATTCCCCAAACAAACACACCCGTAGTAGATTTAAAATTTGTATTTTATTGAAATATATAAGATGATTTTGATATTTTTGTTATTTATATTTTATGTATAAATTAATTGTATTTATAATATATATTTGTAATTTATATAAAATTTATGAGTATTTAATATTAGTATAAAAATAAATACTTTTAAGTAGTACATATAAAAATAGTAAAAATGATATTTAAATTGTGATAAATGGAGTATACTTTTATAGTCCGCAATGAGAATAGTAAAATAAATAAATAAAAAAAAAAGTAATTTGTTTGTTTATGATTTTAAACATAAATCTACACTATTCAATTCCTACAATTTTCAATAAATATACACTATTATTTATTAAAAAAAAAATATATCATATAAAAAGACTATTTAAATAAAATTTCAAATCAATATCTTATTTCAAATTACAACAAAATAGACATATATTTACTTTTAAGTAGTGTAGCGAATAAGATTATTTGCATCTTCTTGCACATATATATTTATATTTCTTATACTTTTGCCGGACTTTAAATTGATTTTGTAAATTTTTCCCTTTGTTCGCCAAATTATTTTTACTTTTTTTTTTCATTTGTCTCATTACTATTTTTGAAAAAAGTAATAAAGTTAATCTTCAATTATTAACATTTATTCAAAATTTATTTACAATAAATAACATTAACTTTATTAAAGTATCTCTCCTTTATTCTTTTTAATTAGGAACTAAATTTCGAGACGGGAAGAGTATCATCTATCACTTAGTTCGCAACCACATTATTCTTAAATTTTACATTGAAAAGATGAAATATGATCAATTATCTAACAGAATAAACCTATTTAAAAATTACATGATTAAAACAATAATCAAATATAGCTATAACATAAAAAAATTATATATAAATTTTAAAAAATAAAATAAAATAAAAACTTAAAGCAAATTGAATAGTTGGTTGAATATATTTGTGGGTGTGTGTATGTTTGAAGATTAATATGACTTTACATGGAGAGCAGTAGAAGTAACGTTATATATACCAATTATTGAAAAGAAAATAAATTTGGAAAATTAAAATTAAATTTAGTTTACCAAAATGCAGTATTATATAAAATGACACTATACAGATAATTGACAATATTTATTTAATAATTTTACAGACAATAATAAAATACTAGTTATGTAGTAGTCTTATCATATCATATCTTTTCTGTCAGTCGTGAATTATAATTTGTACACACTCCTTTCAATTTTTTTGCATTAATTATTACTCCTCTATAAAAGCACAGTTCGGTGAAAAAAAATGATTGCAGATGTGACAACAAAGTATAATCATGTAATTTTAATTCATATCATGAAATAAAATAAAATAAAATAAAATCTTGTGAGTGAAGAAAATTGCCAATAAATTAAATAAAAATGCAGAAATTCGGTAGGGGCAATAATAAAAGCCGAAAAATACGTATTGCGGTCATGTCAACAACCCAAGTTATAAGGCTCCGTTTGGAGGGAAATTAATACTCCCTCCGTTCCACGTAATATGGGTGTATTACTGTAAACACAAGAATTTAGGTAAAATATAATTAGTAAGTAATTAAAAAATATATTAGTAAAAATAATTATTATTTAGTAAAAATAATTATAGATTAAGATTAAAATAAGTAAATAGTTTAATTAAAATTAAGAAAATTATAAAATTTAAAATGCGATTAAAGTGCATAATTATATTTTCAAAAATAGAAATGATAAGTTACGTGGGATGGACGAAAATAAAAAATAGAGATAAATTATGTGAGAAGTATTTTACGATAAAATTCTAATTATGATTCTCTTAAAATAAAAATAAATATATATAGATGAAGTGATGGACAACACATGACTGACTGTCAGTCTTATGATTTGAAGTTCTTCGATTTGACGTTTGACTTGTCATTTCAAGCCTTTTCTTTTTTATTTTATGAAAAGATAAAATTAAATTAAATTTTATGGAATTATTAGGTATTACAATTATATATATATATATATCTCACAAAATAGATTTATCTTCACTTGGCACGCGCCCGCCACGTGACTCTTGTTTTTTATTATATTGATTGAATTATTCGTTGTTTTTAAAATAAAGTTTAAAATTAATTAGTAAGATATATGTAGAAAAAACGCAAATAAACCATTTTTTTTATTACTAAGTTGAGAAAAAACGATTGAACTCAATTTTTTTTTTTTTTTTGAAATTAGAAAATCAATGCCACTATAAAAATGTGCAGGAATTGTTTACTTTGATAATATATTTAATTTTTAAGTCTAAAATAGTATGATGAAAATTTTGAATTAATAAAAGTTGTGTTCTATGCAATATCCATTTTATATTAAGGAATTAACAATAAATTATTTATTACCTAAAAAAGAATGTAATATACATATATATATATATTACTCCTTTCATCCCACATACCATGTCCATATTGCCGTTTCTGTCCGTCCCACATACCATGTCACTTTCTTTTTTAAAAAATAATTACACACTTTAATCTCATTTTAAACTTTTTAATTTTATTTTTTTAAAATTTTAATTAAATTAATTAGTTATCTTAATCTTAATTTATAATTATTTATATTATCATATAATTATTTTCACTAATACATTCTTAATTATCTACTAATTATACCCCTCCTAAAATACCATGTCTACAGTGTAGTAGACACGGTATGTTGGACGGAGGGAGTAATTTGGATAACATTAAGAGCATTAAATTTAAGCTTCCACAGCATTAATTATAATGACTAATTAACTTAATAATAAAGATAAGAGTAGTACTCTAATACCTACGTAGATGTCAGTGTATGATTGGACAAATAAATTATTTAAATCATTAATAATGAATTGATCTATTTAAGATACATCATACATACATAAGTGCGATGTATTCATACAAAATGTGCACTTATTTATTACTGTCTTAAATTAAATT